TGGTGAGTTGCTAGGGCAAGTCCTCATTTGCCAGGAATTTTTTCTTGTAACTTTCTTCCCTAGTGACATAGGGGTGTGAGAAGGGGGGACCGGGTGACAAGCACTTTCTTAGTATTTCTTTCCTTTAGCTTGGAAAATAACTTTTTCTTATTTTCCGAAAGGAATCTTAGACATTGTGATAGTTGAGCCCTTCATTTTACACATGAGAAAACTCAAGTCCAGATAGTGAAGTGACTTTTCTAAGTCTAAACAGGTGCAGAAATGTGAAAAGAACTAGGTGGCCTAATGTTTTTGCTGCCTTCCTACTCCCTGCCATTTTAAAGGCTTACTGAATGTTGGGTGTCTAGCAGACAGATTTGATTTAAGTCAAGGTTCTTGCTCTAAGAGCACTCACCATTTTTTCCTCCAGAGAGAAAATACATGAATAAAAGCGAGATGATGAATCTGCCGTAATAAAAGTTCTAGAATTGAGATGTGAATAGCAGAGAAAGGAGTGCAATGAGGTCCACCCGGGAAGTAGGGACGGGAAAGCTTCACTTCTGAGCTGACGTTTGAATTGTACCATTTACTGAGTATTTTGTGCATGTTACTGAGTGGTTATGGGGCGTCAATGCAGTGCACACTAGGTTGGAGATTATCTAGTCAGATAGTGTTGTGGGGCAAAGGGGTGGGAAGGGCGGGGAGTCCAGGTGCAGGGACAAGCACTAGTAGAAACAGCTCAGAAAAGGGTTTCCTCTTTGGCATCAGACAGGCCTAGATTTGAAACCCAGCTCTGCTCCTTACTAGGTTTGGACAAATAATCTGCTTTCTGTGAGCTTCAGTTAACCCATTTGTAACATGGAGTTAAAAAACAAAACTACTCAGGAAAGAAGAAAAAAGAAAAAAAAAAAAAAAATGAGCTTCAGGCCGGGCGTGGTGGCTCACGCCTGTAATCCCAGCGCTTTGGGAGGCTGAGGTGGGTGGATCACTTGAGGTCATGAGTTCGAGACAAGCCTGGCCAACGTGGTAAAACCCTGTCTCTACTAAAATTAAAAATATTAGCTGGGTGTGATGGTATATACCTGTACTCCCAGCTACTTGAAAGGGTGTGGCATGAGAATCACTTGAGCCTTGGAGGCGGAGGTTGCAGTGAGCCAAGGTTGCTGCACTGCAGCCTGGGCAAGAGCAAGATTCTGTCTCAAAAACAACAACAACAACAAAACAAGCTTCGAGTCATTGACAACAACAATAACAACAACAACAACAAAAACCCAGACCTTCTTTATTTCAACTGCATGACATTCTGGAAAAAGTAAAATATGGAGACAGTAAAAAGATCATTGTTTGCCAGGGATCGAGGCGGGCAGGGGCAGGGTGGGAGGGCTGAAGAGGTAGAATGCAGAGGATTTTTAGGGCAATGAAAGTATTCCGTATGATATGGTATAACAGTGGACATGTGTCATTATACATTTGTCCAAACCCGTAGAATACACAACATCAAGAGTGAACCCTGATGTAAAATGTGGACTTTGGGTGACAGTGATGAATCAATATAGGTTCGCCAATTGGAACAAATACACTACTGTGGTTGGAGATGCTGATGGAGAGGGGTTGGGGGTCTATGGGAACTCTGTGTATGTTGTGCTTAATTCTGAACTGAAAACTGTTCTAAAATATAAGGTATTTTAAACAAATGAACTACTTTAAACATTGTTATGAGGTTATAATTAGAAAACACATACTCGAATGTTCTTCCTTGATTGTGTGGGAAGAAAGGACAGATCAGTCAGTTTCACTAATACATGAAGTTGAGTTGCAGCACTGTTACTCCTCCCACTTTGCAGCGGGTTTTTAATGTGTCTTCACTGTGGAGCGTGGTGGCCTTGGTGCTGCGGGTCTTCCCATTTAGACTTTGAGCTCCTCATCGTGCCTGGAGTAGAACTCCACTGTGGGTAGGAAAAGAGGCAGTTACAAACAATAGGCCTGGACTCTTTGCTTTGTTAAGAAAGGAAAACAGTGTTTTGCCAGGAAGTTAGTTACTGTTTAAGAAACCCAGAACGATTGTGTTTCTCTGAGTTCTTAGTATTTCCTGGCAGCAGAATGCAAGCCTGAGAATAAACAATGGCGTTTGTTAACTTGTTCAGTGAATTCTGAAGTCTGGGTGCTCAGAGCTTTGAATGGTGAACAGGAGGATGATTGCTCTGTTGGTGAGTGTTAGGAAGCAGCTTCGAGCGTGTGCCCTTCCTGCCTGGGAATGGTATGGAATGGGTTGAGCTGTTAAGGATTCTGTGAGTTTGTGAACATCAGCTGTAGGAAGGTATAATCAGTCATGTAGATCCTTGCTACTCAAAATGTGGTCCCCAGGCTGGTAGTATTGCATCACTTGGAAGCTTGTAGAAATGCAGAATCCCAGACCACACACTAGATTGACTGCATCAGAATCTGCATTTTAGCAAGATACATAGGAGGCTAGTGTCCACCTTGAAGTTTGAGAAGCACTGGTGCAGGAGGTTGGATGCAGGTGACTTCTTCTTGCAGTACAGCATCCTGGCTTCCATGAAGAAGCCTTCCTAGTTCTGCCTGGCTGGGATTTATCCCCAGTTTGTATCTGACCCCATTAGGGTACCAAAGAAGAGGTTCCTAACTAATAACCATGGAGTCAAGAAGGAAAATGGGGTAAGGAACAGAACATGATGTTCCTGATTTCAGGCTTTAATGTTTGCCTTCAAATGTGTGATTGAGCTCAGAGTCTATAAAGCTTTTGCTTCAAGAAGCAGAGTCAATATTTTTCTTATTCAAATCATTAAACATCATCTTGATCTATTCATTGGCTCAACTTTTCTGTTTGATCATCTCCCTTAGGTAACTGTTTTAAATGGTGAAGGATAGACATGAGAGAGACATTTTTATTTCCTTTAAATGAATGTTTTCTGCAAGAATTTGTGGTGAAAGGGCATGTGTAATTTTTGTTGATGGGATTTTACCAGCACAGAGTTTTCATGAGTCCTGGATTTTCTGGTGGAACAGAAAGTCTTATATGTTATGTTGTATTAGAGCCTTTTTTCTTTCTAAAAAATGAAACTTGGAGAAGTTTTGAGGTATAGATAACCTTGGGGTCATGAATTCTACATGTAACTCTAGGTGTTCAAAAATGTTATATTTAAAAAGCTCAAAAATTATTTTCAGTTTGTATTAAAAAAAAAGTCTTGGCTTTCAGTGTCTTTTTAGCTGTATTCCTATTATAAAAGTGATATTTTACTAGCATGGCCTCATTACTTGACATTTGAACTTGTTTACCTTTATTCAGTTAATTGATTGAAGGCTAATTTGGAAATTTTGAGATGGGGAAACAAGCCCTGGATCAGGGATCAGGAGGCAGGTTAAAGATTTGCATTCTCTGCTCTGCTGCCTAGCTGTGTGTTGGGCACATCCCAGGCTCTGGTGTTGTCATCTCTAAATGGAAGCAATTCAACTAGATACATGATTTCCAGCAGGGGACAGGGGCTCTGTGAGCATGCCATGTATCAGGATCTGGGGTACGGGAGCATGTGTAATTTGAGAATGCACAGTATTGTATTTCCTTATTGGAGAAGCAGGAAAACTATATATACATTTTTAAGTGAGTGGCACCAAGTGAAGCATAATACAATCTTGGCTGGTGGTTTACAAGGGATGGGAAGCACATGGGGCTAGCAGGTACTACTGTTGAATGAGTACTGTGTGCTGTTATCAGCTTCTAATATACATATGCTCTATTTAAGCCTCGAAAATTCCTATAAGGTAAGTACTATTGTTGTATGAAGAAACAGAAAGGTTAAGCATCATGTTCAAGGTCATCACAGCCCATGTGTGAGTAGGTCTGAGCTCCGGATCCAAGCCAAGCCTCCAGTCTTAGCTGCCTTGCACTCACAGTCTGTTATGAATCCAGATCAATTTTATGTGTATCTTACTGTTTCTAATGGTATGACATTACCCCACAATCTTAGGTGCACCAAAAAAAAAAAAAAAAATCACACTTTTCTTCAAATCCAATTAAGATAGGCTCCAAGTTCCACTTGCAGAGATTGGTGAGGGCTTCAATATCAGTGGTCATTGAGGATTCCTTTTCCAGGCACACATTTTGGTTAGAAAATTCTGAGACCCTCAAATCCCCCTCCATCCTGGTGGTACTGAGATGTTCATTGGCCAAGCCTGCATTGCCCGTTTGAGGGTGACCAATGACATGTGAATCTGTCCATGCTCCTCTTGGCCTCTGTGGTCTTCTCTGGGGCTCCTGAGGCCGTGACTTCCAGGTGCTGGTTCCTAAGCATCCACATGTCCACTCTTGTCAGAGGTTTCTACCTACTCCTGCCGGGGGCTTCGTAGACGAGGAACCTGGTACCAACGCAGACATAGAATGCTACATGGACACAGAGCTTCTTGGGGGAAAGGGAAGTGGACCTTTTGTTTCTTTATTACAAATTCGTATGAAATTAGTTAATTTCTCTGACAAATTATTCTATCTGTAAATGGCAACAAGACTTAACATGACTGACTTTAAGCCATTTTATTAGTGTCCAATTTACATTTCTCTTCGTGAAAACATTTAGTTGTCTCAACAAGGATAGCCTCAATTCATGACTTGTACTATCCATGTGACCTTGTGTAAATGAAGTGAGTTCCTTAAGTCTCTGTTTCTTTTTTTGCAAAATGGAAATAATAACAGTATCTATGCTGTAGAGGGTCCTGGGAGATCAGCTATGACAAAGACACTGAGTTGTAGAAAGTCCAAAGTGCATTTGGGGAATGTCATTGATTGTTGGGTTGGTGCAAAAGTAATTGCAATTTTTGCCATTACTAATAGGAAGCTGGAGGGGAGTGTACAGGTGGGTGGGGGAAAGGCAAGAAGTGTGTAAATCCTATTTTACAGAGCTTGGATTCACACTGGCCTTCTCTCTGGTTGTGTTAGTAACTGGAGTTTGTGTTCTGACTCAAACATACACTGAGATCTTTCTGATAAACTCCTATTTTGACCTATTTAGGATGCGACTGACTTTGAGTGGAGCTTCTGGATGGAATGGGGGAAGCAGTGGCTGGTGTGGCTTCTCCTTGGCCACATGGTTGTGTCTCAGATAGCCACACTGCTGGCAAGAAAGGTACGATTATGTGTGCTGTTACCTTTTAAGTGTCTTTTTCCTTTGCCTCTTGGGAAGAAGGAGCCCTGAGCTAGAGATCAGAAGACATGGGTATTAGCACTGGGAGCCTGGAGAACAAGATAAGTGGTTAATGATCAATATAACATGTAAGATACAAGGTCATATGTTCATATACTGTACTTTCTCTAACTTATTTTTCAGACATTGAATATAAATTTTAGAGTAAAACTACAGGGCGTGGTAGACTTTAAGATCATTCCTAATCAAATAATCAAAAAGTCGCCTGTTGTTGAGAATCCAGATGACTTCACTTTCAAAATCAGAAGAAAGTACCAATTTACTTAAGAAGTGGGAGTAATTTTACTGTCAAGTAGTTTATGCTGCTGTAGCTGTTTTAGATGGGAAGTCCAGTAGCATTTTGCTCTTGCCTTGGCCTGGCTTGGAGAATGAGAGATTCTTCAAAGTGGTTATTTGAAAAGTACTTTTATATGAGGTAGGATTGAGACCCTCTTCACAGGTCTAGCTACCAAGGGATCCGATATACTGCCAGGAGGATCTTTTTGTCACCTGAGGGCCAGGGTGTTGCCCAGAAGCCTCTGATAAATGCTTCTTGCCTGCTGTAGATTCATCATGGAGGAAAAAAGTCTGTACTTGGAAATTTCCTGAGTAAAAATAAGACACAACCAAAACCTGACTTGGAAGTCAACCTAGGAAAAATGTTTTGATTCTCAGAGGCTCCCAGAGGTGATAAAACTGAAGTAGAAGAGAAATAGAAACCTCTGGAGAGAGAGACCAGAAAGTGAGACACAGAAACAGGAGGCCCTGTGGTTAGACGTGCACCTAATCTGGGCCATTTTCTGACTCTTCCAGGAAAGTTGGTGCTTTCTGGGCTTGCTTCTCATCCTGGAAGACAGGAAATCCCAACAGCATAATATCTTCCTCTTAAATATGATACTGATTATTTTTTTTTGTAGCCACTCAAGTGGCTGCTGAACTGGCAAAACCTAAAATACTAGATCATGTCAGATCTAAATATATTTTAAAATTTCATATAACTTTGTGAGCAGATCTAATAATAAATAATACTTTTTTAATGTTTGTAAGCTAGTAATGAACATATCTACCTCAGCCCTCACTAACGGTTTTTTTCTTTCATACATTTCTGTCATTTTTTCCCAAGAATTCAAAATTTCTGGAAATTTAACATTTTGATTTCTAACAAAGTTTCCCACCCATGTGTAAATGACTTATTACCATAAATCTCAGTTTTCCTATATGTAAATAGCTTAATACCTGTTTTTTTCTTTACCTCTGTGAGGGGAAGATGAAATACTGTGAGGATTGTCCTAAGTCGATTGTGTAGTGAAAGACTGCTAGACATTGTGTTACTCATGTTTGGTCCTTGGTTTTGTCACTGATCAGCTTTTTAAAACGAGCAAAGCTTTTTACTACTGAATCTTAATTTATCATGGTCTTAGTGCATTTTTGTTGCTTATAACAGTATATAAAATGGAGTAATTTTATAAAGAAAATGAATTTACTTAGTAATTTATGAAGAAAAGGAATTTATACAGTTTCGGAGGCTGGGAAGTCCAAGGTTGAGGGGCCACATCTGGTGAGGGCCTTCTTATGGGTGTCTCTGCAGTCCCAAGGCAGTGCAGGACATCACATGGTAAGCACAATAGCTCAGGCCTCTTTTTCTCTTCTTGTAACGCCACCAGTCCCACTGCCATGATAATGTATTAATTCATGATATGGTTTGGCTTTGTGTCCCCACCCAAATCTCATGTCAAACTGTAATCCCCACGTCTTGGAGGAGGGGCTTGGTGAGAGGTGACTGAATCATGGGGGCAGACTTCCTCCTTACTGTTCTCATGATGCAATTTTTATGAGATATGGTTGTTTGAAAGTGTAGCACTCCCCACTTTGCTCACTCTCTCTTCTGCTCTGCCATGGTAAGATGTGCTTGCTTCCCCTTTGCCTTCCACCATGATTGTAAGTTTCCTGAGGCCTTCCAGTTATGCTTCCTATTAAGTCTGTGGAAGTGTGAGTTAATTAAACCTCTTTTCTTCCTAAATCACCCAGTCTCAGGTAATTCTTTATAGGAATGTTTAAACAGACTAATACAACCTATGAATGAATTAATCCATTAATGAGGGCACAGCCCTCATAATCCAATCACATCTTAAAGGCTGTATCTCACAATATTGCCACATTGGAGATTAAATTTCAGCACGAATTTTGGAGGGGACAAACATTCAAACCATAACAGTTGTCCTTAGTAGAATAGGATCAATAAGATAGTATTAGTTTTTTTTTTTCCCTTTAAAATATGAGCTTCATTTGTTAGACAGTTCATCCTTAAAAGTAAAGATGAAACATGGAAAAGTGGGACAAAGAGAAAGCACAAAAGAAATGGTTGAAGTAAGTTTAAATATGTCAGTCATTACAATCAACTTAAGTGGATTCTCAATGGATTCTCAGACTAGATGAAAAAAAGAGAAGTAAAGGAAAACAAAAACCAAAACATAGTTCAGAGAGGCTCTTATTAAAACAGAAGGACACACAATTTGAAAGTAAAAGGTATGAAAAGGTATTCCAGGCAAATATGAAACCCCCTCTCCTTCTGACAAACTACTGGTGCAGTTTTATTAATAGCGGCAAAAAGCATTACTAATGACAAAGAGGGCTGTTGTTTCATAATAAAGAGTTAAGTTTTCTGGATCCAGGCTTGCACATGGAGGCCTGACACAATCCAGTAGTCTTTATGAATTGGGCAGAAATAACCCTTTGGGGAGTTATAATTCAAGGTTGGCATAATTCATGAGCTATTTCTTGGAAGAATAGGGACATGGAAGTGCAAGACACTTAATGAAAATAACCTATTTTTGAATGTGAATGTTAAATGTTGCAAAATAAAATAACCTCCGTGGATTTAAATTTTGAAATAATCGGGGAGATGATCCAAGATGGTTGAATAGGAACAGCTCTGGAGCGCAGGTCCCAGAGAGATGCAGAGGCCGCCGCAGGTGATTCACAGGCAAGCAGGGTCTGGGGTGGACCTCCAGCAGTCCTACAGCAAAGGGGCCTGACTGTTAGAAGGAAAACTAAAAAACAGAAGGAAATAACTTATCAACAGAAAGGACGTCCACTCAGAGACCCCATCTGAAAGTCAGCAACTACGAAGACCAAAGGTAGATAAATCCAAAACGATGGGAAGAAACCAATGCAAAAAGGATGAAAACACCCAAAACCAGAACCCTTCTCCTCCTCCAAGGGATCAAAACTCCTCATCAGCAAGGGAACAAGGCTGGATGGAAAATGAGTCTGATGAATTGACAGAAACAGGCTTCAGAAAGTGGGTAATATCAAAGTTCTCTAAGCTAAAAGAACATGTTCTAACCCAATGCAAAGAAACTAACAACTTTGAAAAAAGGTTTGATGAAATGTTAACAAGAATAAACAGCTTAGAGAAGAATATAAATGAATTGATGAAGCTGAAAAACACAACATGAGAACTTCGCAAAGCGTACACAAGTTTCAATAGCCAAATAAACCAAGCAGAAGAAATGGTATCAGAGATTGAAGATCAACTCAATGAAATAAAATGAGAAGGCAAGATTAGAGAAAAAAGAGTAAAAAGAAATGAACAAAGCCTCCAAGAAATACGGGATTATGTGAAAAGACCTAATCTACGTTTGATAGGTGTACCTGAATGTGACAGAAAGAATGAATCCAAGCTGGAAAACACTCTTCAGGATATTATCCAGGAGAACTTCCCCAACCTAGCAAGGCAGGCCAATATTCAAGTCCAGGAAATACAGAGAACACCACAAAGATATTCCTCAAGAAGAGCAATCCCAAGGTAGATAATTGTCAGATTCACCAGGGTTGAAATGAAGGAAAAAATGCTAAGGGCAGCCAGAGAGAAAGGTTGGGTTACCAACAAAGGGAAGCCCATCAGACTCAAAGCAGATCTCTCAGCAGAAACCCTACAAGCCAGAAGTGAGTGGGGACCAATATTCAACATCCTTAAAGAAAAGAACTTTCAATTCAGAATTTCATATCTGCCCAAACTAAGCTTCATAACTGAAGGAGAAATAAAAATCCTTTATGAACAAGCAATTGCTGAGAGATTTTGTCACCACCAGGCCTGCCTCATGAGAGTTCCTGAAAGAAGTACTAAACATAGAAAGGAACAGCCAGTACCAGCCACTCCAAAATGTACCAAATGGTAAAAAGCATCAACACAATGAAGAAACTGCATCAACTTATGGGCAAAACCACTAGCTGGCATCAAAATGGCAGGATCAAATTCACACATAACAACATTAACCTTAAATGTAAATGGGCTAAATGCCCCAATCAAAAGACACAGGCTGGCAAATTTGATAAAAAGTCAAAACCCATCGGTGTGCTGTATTCAGGAAACCCATCTCATGTGCAAGGATGCACATAGACTCAAAGGGATGAAGGAAGATTTACCAAGCAAATGGAGAGCAAAAAAAGCAGGAGTTGCAATCCTAGTTTCTGATAAAATAGACTTTAAACCAACAAAAATCAAAAGAGACAAAGAAGGACATTACATAATGGTAAAAGGATCAATGCAACAAGAAGACCTAATGATCCTAAATATATACGCACCCAATACAGGAGAACCCAGATACATAAAGCAGGTTCTTAACGACCTACAAAGAGACTTAGACTCCCACACAATAATAGTGGGAGACTTAAACACTCCACTGTCAGATCAACGAGACAGAAAATTAACAAGGATATTCTGGACTTGAACTCAGATCTGGACCAAGCAAACCTAATAGACATTTACAGAACTCTCCGCCCCAAATCCACAGAATATACATTCTTCTCAGCACCACATCACACCTACTCTAAAATTACATAATTAGAAGTAAATCATTCCTCAGCAAATGCAAAAGAACGGAAATCATAAACAGTTTCTCGGACAACAGTACAATCAAATTAGAACTCAGGATTAAGAA